AATCAAAACCAGATTCCAAGACGTCATCATGTCTCTCACGTGTGGGAAAAAGCCACTACAAAAATCTAATACCTCAACACAGGAGAGAAAGAGGCCTATTTCAAAGTGCTCTTTTCCAGGGAGGACTAGTATCTTTAAGGTTCATCAGTCAGGCCAGCTGACTGAGAAATGGATGATGACTAACATCCCTGAAACACCTTACATTCTAATCAGGAGATTCCTGACCCCAAACCACGTCACAGAGGAAGTGGGGTAATGTCAGGGAAATGGGATGGAAAAGGTCCGCCTCTCACAACTCTGGCTTGTGTCCTCTGTGTACCTCCTGGTAACTCCAGGCTTGCAAGGTTGCTGGGCAATGCTGGCTTTCCTTCCTTCAGTGAGAAAACCCAGGGTGCCCAGCCTGACACTTTCTGGTCCACCAAGAGAGACATAGTAATGTAAGAGAGGAGACATCATTCTCATTCCAGTAACGGGTCTGATCCAGAACACAGAACATTTTATGTTCACTAGTATGTATTTCATTTGTCTGTGCATTGCTTGTTCACATTTTTTCAGAATTTTTTTCACATTTTTTTTCTGAGGCAGTGTTTCTTATTTAAGTTTCTTACAAAGAACAACAGTTTGTTGAAACCTGCTTTATGTTTAGTCACATAAATGCTGTCAACTCTATACAATTTTTTCCTTCAGGGTTTCTGCCTTTGGACTCACATTTAGAAGGGCTCCGAAGCTGGCTATTAATCACCCCCTCAAAACAGCCACAAATCAGTCTCCCTCATTTTACCAAAAAGATGACAGGAATCTGTGCCAGAACCTTTCTGCACTAAGCATGTGTTGCTACAGTGAAAAAATAATTTTTAACACTAACAAATGCTATAGAAAAGCCATAGAGAAATTCAAAATATTTTTTTAAAGCCCTGGGCAATTTAAGTAACTTCTTTAAATCACTAATGGGATTCCTCCCTAGCTCAACAACTATATTTTTGTGAAAAAACAGTTCTATCTTGAACTATCTAGAACTACCTAGAACTATAGTTCTATCTAGAACTGTCAGGAAAATGCTTTACTTACAAATTCCTATACTTGGCATTTCACAACTTCATTACCAGTACTTCCACTACTCCTCTTAATTCATTTAGTCCATTAGGCTTCTTCTGTCATGACTCACTTATTTTGACTGGACCAAAATTGCTCTCATGAACATTCTAGACTCTTAGAAAGCACTGACTTTTAGAAATAGTTAACACAGCTGAATGCTTATTACGTGCCAGGTCCTGCGCTGAGTCTTCTATGGGGTCTGTACCCCCCTCACTGTGAGATGTGCCTGTTACATTTTAACACCACTTTACACTCCTGAAGCTAGGACAGCTTACAACTCATGGCATGTCACACTTAACTGATAGTTTTTCACCCCTTCAGCAGAACATGAAGTAACATCTGACAATTACCAGCAGGTTAGATAAGATGATATAAGGAAGTATAACTCGTTTCATCTTCATAGCAGTCCTGAAACTGATACTATTATCTCTGTTTTTCAAATGAGGCAGAATCCTAAGTTAATGGTGCTTTCTAGTTATAAAGCAAATGAGTGTTGGGCCTCAACTTATGCCTAGGCAATGCGACTAGAGCCCTACCTGGAACCCACCTGCTATCCATGGGCCTACCACGCCGGAGCAAGGCAAGAAGGTAGGAATCACCTCCTCTTCGAGGCAGCCTCATCCAACTTCACTCCCAACTTCACACCTACTGTCTGGAATTTGTACTCTTGATAATTCCTGGAAACACTACCTACAGTGTCTTTCACAACTTCTCCAGTGCTCTTGAACTTCCCCTGACACCTGCTGACTCCCTCGCCTCACCATCAGTACAGGGGGAAGACCGCTCTGGACGTGAGCTCTCACCTGGACCCCAGGCTGCGTCCTTGTGTTATGACCTCCCTCCTTACCATACAAGTATCAGTACAGCCTTTTGTCGTCCGTGCTCCGGGTCACGAACTCCATCACCTTTAACCGCTTGCTATGAACTTCTTTTCTTTAACCTCCAAATAGGATGAGGTCTCATCTATTCTGAAAAATAAATCACTTGAGGGAGTATCAGAACCTATTTCTCCCATCTCTTAATACTCCCAATCTCTTCTCTGCAACTGCATTCGTTAGATTCTCTGACTTCTTCTCCTTTACCTTGAAGGATCTCTTTTCCCCTACACACCTACTTCTGGAATTTTTTCCCCACAGGTTCCTGGTTTCACCACTCCTCTGACCCTATACTTTTCTTCCAGTTCCTTCTTTTGTTTACTTCAAATGTGCCTCTTCTTTCTATTAATTCCTCACTGTGGAATTCCTAAAATTCAAGCCACCAGCTTTGCTTTCCTCGCGTCTCTGAGAACACGCACAGGGCTGTAAGGAGTCCACACACCCAGCTTTTCTGGAAATTCAGTTATCAATCTCCAGCTTACCTGTATAACACTTCTGGTTAGATTCCCCACCTTCAACTTCTCACAGCAATGCTAATTTGTTATGACCGCTACAATCAGTTCTTTCCTATTAAATACTGCTTCACTAATCTTCCAGCCACCAGGGTTGGAAACTTAAGGGTCATCTAGCTGTCTTTCGTTATTCTGTAACCATACAATCACCAAATCTTCATGTTTTTTTTTTTTCCGTCACAAAACCCCCTTCTGTTTCCACGTCTGCCTTTACAAGAGATCTGTCATCACACAGATAACTCGCTAGCTTTCTTATTATCTCCTGGCATCCAGGCTCTGTGCTCTCCAATCCAAACTACAGGTCTGAACGTTTTCAGTGACTTCGCAATGCTTCTTCATTCTAGCACGTGAAGGCCCTCAACTTCTCACGCACCCTGACCGTTCTGGACATCTCTTCTGCCCTCCCTCCCCTGTTTCTGGGCTCCATCAAGAATATGGGAGCAGGCAGAAAGGCTCGTTATGCTCTGCTAGCTCTGTCCTGCTCCACAGGACAGCCGCAGGTGACTGCTGAAGAATGTTAAGACCAAACAATGCAGTTTCTCAGTTGAACTCGCCGTGTTTTAAGTGCTACTAGCTACTTGTTGCTATGGTTATTGTGTTAGCGCAGACATAGAACATTTCCTACAGATACTCTACTGGAAAGTATGGTTCCAGAGCTACTTGACATTTGTGCTTCTATCCCAATCTCCATGCCAACGAGTTCCACCTATGCAAACCACACACGTCCTTCCATACCACAGAGGTCTTCCTGTGACTGCTCAGTATAATTTACTCCTGTTAACCCTGTAACAATTCTTACATTGTTGTTGCATTTAATTCTTCCCTACCTCTACTAGGGATTGAACCGAGGGGCCTCACACTGAACTATATGCTCAGCCTTTTTAATTTTTTAATTTTGAGGTATGTGCTCATTAAATTGTCCAGGCTGAGCTCAAACTTGGAGTACTCCTTCCTCAGTATCCTATAGTACAGGGATTACAGGTGTCTGCCACCACACTACCATTTAACTTTTCATTTTTATGTGTCTTACTAATTGTTGATGTTTAGCCGGGCATGGTGGCACACACCTGTAGTCCCAGCACTTGGGAGGATGAGGCAGGAGGATTGTTGCGAGTTCAAGGCCAGCCTGGGCTACAAAGTGAGTTCAAGATCAGCCTGAACTGCATAGCAAGACCCTGTCTCAAAAAGACAAAAAAAAACAAAACAAAACAAAAAAAAAGAAACAAAAACTAACTATTGAGGTTCTTAGAACTAATAAATATTCAAGAAATGAATGAAGCATATACTAATAATGCTGCACTCAAAGTTGTTAAATAAGGGCATATTTAATATCCCTCCTTTATTAAGAGATATTTGCTTTCAATCTAAACAAAAGATCATGCATTGAGCTAAGTAAATGACTTAATTTATGCCTAGTTATAACAGCTAGTTTCTTTTTTTTTTCTTGTTGTTTGAAATTAAAAGGACAAAAAGCCATTCAGATCTGAAATACTTTTCATTCTGCATAAGTACACAGCAAAGGAACTACAATAGAAGAGAGAAAAATGAATGAGTTTTTAAGTAACTATATCCTAGTAAAGACCACAAGAAAGAATATCTTTGGTATAAAGCCCTAAAATACAGGGAAACTATAAATTAAGCATTAAGAAATTATGTATAAAAATACATTTTTAAATCAGCAGGTACTCTTTTATCCAAATGTGACAATGAATATTAATTCATGTGTGATTTATAGTTGTATGTATACACAGCATGATAAAAAAATACATCAAATGTTTAAATTTCAACATGTATTATAGTAAAAGACATATTCCCCATTGCTTCAAACACACTTATTATTATTTCACTATAGTAAGTTTTAAAAATTTAAATAATAACTGTATTTTTCAATCACCCCTTATATGGTTTTTCTTTAAATTCAGGCTCAAAAAAAAAAAAAAAATTAGTGAAGGTCACAGACCTAGGTGCTTCCAACAGAATAAGGCTCCTCTGCCAAACACCGAGCACCAAGCGGAAAAAAGATTAGGGAGAAGTCACATTCCCATGTTTTGAGAATCAAAAGAGGAGATTTATGTACTTCCCTGGAAGTCAGAACTGTCTGATTTTATTTGAAGTTTGTACAATCTTGGATCTCCCATTTTCTAATAAGGTCCCACTGATTAAATCAGACATAGGCCTTTTCTTTTCCATCTCTAGAATAAAAAAAAAAATCAATTTTAATCTGTAGAAAACAAACATCTCTCTATGGTTGTCAGACTTGATTCCTACTCAGCTCAAACAATATTAGGTACAAAATGTCAGTAGCATGCCAAAAAAACTCCTTTTTCCTCTTCTCTCCAAACGATACCAGGTAAGCTCAACCCAAAGCCACAGCGACACAGTGTGTACAGGAGGAAAAACCAACGCGTGAACACTCACCAACACTCAGAGGGAGAAAGGCATGGCTTCCCCACTTCCAGCCCCTAGAGGGTAACTCCCGACAAGCCAGTTGTTATCCTCTCCAGGACTCATTGCTTACCTTAATATAACCCACTGCGTGAGGAAATCTTTAAGGTAACTCTGAACATCAAACACTGCACCTCTGTCCTACAAATAGGAAATGTAGGTATTAATGTTTATGAAAGCACATGGCAAGGCAGTCCCATGCAACTGGGGTATGTAAGTGTACACACAACTCATCAGTGTATGTAAGCACCCCTTGAAAGGACACTGGGAGTAAAGAGAACATAGAGGATCCACAGTTTCATTAGATTCCTAAACAGCCCTAACTCCCTGCAACACCCCACCGCCCCCCATCCCAGAATAAGTGAACTGCAACATATCACACAAGAGCAGACATCAAATATTAAAAAAATAATACCCAAGGGATTTGCAATGAACTATTCTTATCTCAAGGTACAATGTTTAACTGCTCAGGGAAAACAGAGTAATTTTGATAAAACAGATAAACTGAGGTACTAGAACTTTCCTCATCAGTACCATCACTTTGTGATTATACACAAAAACACAAGAGGGAAATGGCAGGAATTATGCAGTAAAGCAGAGATAAAACTAATTGGGCTTTCAAATGTATTACTTTTATGCCAGATTTATTCTTCAAATTATGTGCTGTTTAGATTAAGTGCTAATTTTATCCCTTCCCCTTTCAAACACTTAAAGAAGACAGAAGAAATAACAGGCCCAAAAATCACAGAGAGGGCAGTTTTCAAGGCCTAAAAAATAAAAGCAAAGTGATAGCTATCCTGGGACAATGAAGCACAGTGACATAACGCCTATGTGGGTACCTGAGATTAAAGCCCAAAAAAACGCAGTTAAGAATGAAGTTCTGGAGTCAGACACCTTTATTCACATCCCAACTGAGATTATAAATAATAATCGCTCACTAGTTATGCAGCCCAAGACCAGATGCTGAATCACTGGCCTCAGTTTCCTTTCCTGTAAAAATGTGATAAAGACAGTCCTTAGGGAAGTTTGGGGGCATACAGGACACTATTATAAACAAAGCTTGGCACACAATGTGAACTCAGAAAAAGTTACTAGAGTTATTTCTCTAAAACAATAATCTAAATCAAATTACGACTCATGACACTAATGAATATCTACAGAAAAGTCACCTGTATTTTTAATCTAGTAGCTCCAACCATCACTTCCAAACTGCCTGTTTTAACAAAAACAAGTAGTAAACTGATGTGTAGTCTCTCTCTCTTTGACCCTACAAACTTATGAGTAGAAGGAACAAGGGGGAAGAGAGATAAATGTCCTGGGGCGGCACACTCTAGGACAGTGATGGTGAACCTTTTAGAGCTTTCAATGATACACAGCACTCTGCGGCACGCGTGTGGTTTGTTCGCCACCGCTGATCTCGCAGAGCTTCTGTGATGTTGGAACTCTACCATTTATATATAATCCAATATGGTAGCCACTACCCACATATGGCTACTGAGCATCTGAAATGTGGACAGTACTGAGAAGATGCATTTTTAAGTTTCATTTTAATTTAAACAAATAGATGTAGCTATGGCTACCTTACTGGGCAACACACTGTAGATGATCCATAAACCGAATAAAGATTATAGAAATTTAATCAGAAACATGGGTTTTCTTTTCCCGATTTGCTCATGAATTCAATTCAAATGTATTTGTTTTCAGTGGAGCACTAGTACCTATGATCAGTTAAAGAAATAACATGTCACCTCATGTATCAATACAGTACAAACTCAATGCTAGTAAAGGATCACAGATAAAGTAGGTGGTCCTCTGATATTTTAAAGGTCCCTAAGGCCAAGTTAAATTCAAGCACACATGAAGCATGATTCAACACACAGATCAGAACTGCAAAGGTCCTTATCAGCACCCCCAAGCACCTGGCTCTACATCACCAAATGGAAAGCTATTTATTCAATGAAGACTGACCACGCCTGTGTTTATCTTCAATTTTTCCCCCAGAAATTCGTAATTCTGTAACGCTTCCTCCCTCCCAGAAACACTAGTGTTCTTTGCCACCTCAGCCATTCCACTATAACAAAATCCACGTACCACCCATATCTGAAGTATAACGCCAGACTCCTGCTTAGCTGCCCCTGTAATATGGTTTAATTATGATGACTGAACTAACAGGCTGACATCATAGACTTTTACAGGCTGATCCCATGTCATCCTGATGTATCATTTTGCACCAGTTCAGTGCCGTAAATCAATTTAAGATCTCAAGCAGGTTGAAAAGGCTGGTAATGATGCTTTCTCTGCCGTCTCTGGAGACTCTACGTTATACACAACTTACATTATTTATAAGGCCGCAGTGATGCCTCCATTAGCCTTGTGAGACTACACAAATGAGATCTTTTATCCACACGCAACTTGGCCTTGATTATGTACGCTACTGCAGCGTAAGTACACTCGTCTAATTACACTCAAGTTGATTCTTTTCCCCATCTACTGAGTTATTAAATTTTATCCTGAACCAAGAATTGGTCGAAATCGGAACTGCGCACCAAAATCTAGTCTTGAAATAATAATTGTAGCTGAGAAAGCGAGAATTCCTTCCTCTTACTTTAGCAGTAAACTCAGCAGAAGAAAAAAATCACTTCTATTCCAAGAAGTGTAAGAAGGTAACACTAGCAATTGCCTTAAAAAATGCAAAGGCCATCAACTCCTCAAGAGGTTCCAACCAAAGGATACTGCAAAAGGAAAAATGTATTCGGTTACATACCTACGGTGGCAGGGGTCAAAACTAAATCAAGGACAAATCCCTACCCTCAGAAGAAACCTGATCCTGTCTGGATCCCTCGGAAGCTCTGGCATCACCCACCTCCAGAAAATCATCTCTCAGGACCCCGCTTACAGCTTCCCAAGACTTGCAGTGTTACACAAATGATACACCACCTGCACAGAAATATCAAATAACTGCAAATGGGAACGAGGGAGGGAGAGAGGAGGACAAACACTTTAATCAGTACAGCATACTTAGGCCTGGCACCTACATCAGAGTAACACTGATGCGAAAATATTTACACCAACTGAAAATGCTGGGGCAGTCAACACTGGTTGTGCCTGGATTATTTTTAAATAATGGTTCCAACACAGCTCGCTCACCTGCCTCCAATACAATTTAAAGGGGGTAATTACAAACAAGAAGGAAAACGAACCTGGGCAGGGAACAGTTTTCTCATTGTGTTGCCGGGGTGTGGGTGAGTTACCCACGAGAGAGAGCCCGACAGCGATGGTCTGAAATAAGGGCATCCTGTCATTTCACCGCTGCGCACGTCGCCAGGGGAAGGCACAACAGAAATCACGCAACTTCTGCATCATCCCACACTTTCAAACTTCAGACACAATGCACAGAACACAGAGGAGAAAGAAAAAGGCCGGTTGTCACAGCACTCACGAAAAACGATGCTTTCTCAGGAGATGGTCCCGAGGCAGGCCTGGATTTTCAGAAGGAAAGCTCCTTACTGGTTATCTTGCATGGTGTATTTTTTTTTTTTTTTTTTAATCGCATGTGCCTGAATAAACAAAAGCCGCAGCTACTGTAGGTGTGAGACCTGGCAAGCATTTGTTCCTCCTCCCTTCCCAAAGATCATCAAGGAACCCTCTCTTTAAGTCTTCAGATACATTCAGCAACTAGAAGAACAAGCCCACGTCTGTCTCTTTCACACCCACCACCCGCACCTTAATCCACAAACAACCCCGAGCAACACTAACAAAGGCCGGGTGCAGAGCAAAGGAACAGTTGTTCCACGGCGAACTCACGCAATCACACGCAGTGAGGCCATCGAATCCGGTAAAGGGAAAGGAATGAGCCGACACTGGGAGACTCAGGGGGTGTAGGCGGAAGAGGGAAAAAAAAATTACGCGCCGCCACCGCCAAACCTTTGAATAAATTAGAGGGAATTTCGGTGCGAACTTTCCTTGACCTCGACCCCCAACAGACTGCTCGGGGCACAGAGCGGAGCCCGCGCGGGATGCCAAGGGGCCCGGGGCACCCCCGCCGCCCCCCGCGCGGAGAGAGCAGCGCCGGCCGCGGGGCTCGCAGGAGGTGTCGCTCGCTTGGCGGGAGTGCGGGCTGCGTGTAGGGGGCGAGAACTACTTCGTCGCAAGTTGG